CCAGAAAAAAAGGGTCTCCGGTTCTCTACACACGGCAGCGTTAAGCTGCTATTTTACACTGTTATTCTGTGAAAGCGTAGTCAGACAGTCAGATCTCTGGCAAAGACTTTGGAGCCTTGGTTTCGCTCGATCGCTTCTTCAATACAAGCTGTATTGAAGTTACTAAGTCCCGCCGCATGCATTTTGAGATCTGTCTGTTCAGTTGCCTGTATGCTGTTAAATATGTTGAAGACTGCAGCTTGATTTCACGTCTTACAACCATAATATTATAGCTGCATGATGGATGTACAACGTAATGTAAGATTTAAATTAATTAAATTTAATTTGTCTATGATATTATGGCTGCGTGTTTCCAGTGACCTATGGAACTGAGACGTGGTCCTTCACTGCTGGCCGAATGAGGGCCAAGCTCAAGGTCGCTCAGCGAGCTATGGAGAGGTCATGGTGGAGGTTAAGTGGCAATGGGCCGGCTATGTAGCTCGAAGAACCGACAACCGATGGGGAAAAAAAGTTCTCGAGTGGCGGTCTCATACTGGCGGACGAAGTGTAGGGCGTCCCCCACTAGGTAGAGTGATGACCTGGTACAATATGCAGGAAGTCGATTGATGCAGGTGGCTCAGGATCGTGCTTTGTGCCATTCCTTGGGGGAGGCCTATGTTATATAGATAATTCTTAATAAAAATTGAGGTTTAATAAAAAAGAGGTTGCCTCTATGAATGTCCATGGATACAGATGACTCAAACCGTACTCTGCGGCCAACTATGGGAATGGCCTTTTAGCTACTTGTGTACTTGTGATAGGCTGTAGTTGCAGTGAATGTATAGTGATGCAAATAATATGTTTTACGTGGTAGAGCCATGCCGCAGCTATATTACTGGTATAGTTGTAGCACGAATAGGTCGAGTCGACTGGGGAAGAACCACGCTCTCACAGAATACTGGCGTGAAAGAGCAGCTTATAGCTGCTGTGTTTTGTATGGTGAGTGTAGGGAAACGGAGGCTCTTTTTAATGGAAACGAGACATTCAATTTTGTCGTCACGGGTGTCAGCACATCTGCATTTTGATTTGCAGTCGAGGATAGATGTAGAAGTCTATGAGCCACTGCAACCACTTTCCATCATGTGGACTGTGTGCTCGTTTGTCACCCTTATCTTATAAAAAAATAAAGTATCTTTTAAAAATGTATATTTTTACTAATGATATCTCCTTGACCGAATTTCGGTCATTCCCTCATTCTCGTAGACTGATAGAAGCGCAATATGACACGGCTGAAGTGAGATCAGGTACAGGACCAACGAACTAACGGTTAAACGTCTTTTCCAAAGGTATAGGGCTACTGTCAACTTCTTGATTCCGTATTACTACTGAGAATTCCTTGACAAAAAAAAAACTTAGCTGATTTATTGCCCAACCACGGATTCAAACCAGGGATCTCATGTCACAGGTCAGGTATGAAGTCATGTAATAATGTTTCAATTTGTTTGTATAAACATATCTTAAGCATCACATTGTGGATTATGTAGTAGCTTTCGCGCTTTCAAAGTACTTTTAAAAAGTAATTTTGAATGAAATATTTTTGTCCTTTGACTTTGTTTATAAAAGTTATGACTGAAATTGATTGACACTGGTTGTTTACAAAATCAAGACTTGTTGTGAGCCGATTAAATAGCTTATAGCAAAATAAAACAAAGTTTACGGTATACATCAATCGTATTTATTTAATCCTATATTGTGTATGAAATATAAAACATTTCAGAAAGTTGTTGTAAGGCGCGTTGCTGCAAGGGAAGACCTTTAAAGGACCGAAAGAGGACATAGCGTGCAAAAGAGGATTTAGAAACCCCGGCAATTTACAATACGCCTAACAACTATTGACCTCAAACGCACATTGACTTAAATGCTTTATATATATGCTTTTTTCTGACCTCCTTTGGGACCATAACAATTGTATTAATAATTAATTTTTAATTATTAACAGAATGGTTTTATTGAACAATCTATGTGTAATATTGACTTCGTTTTCATTTTATTATAACAATTTATCAATCGACGATGATTTTCTCAAACACTTTCAAAAACCCTTTATAAAAAAGAGCATTATTTCTGTAACTTTGAATGTAGATGAATTATTGCAAATATAAGTATTTAACCAATGTACGTTTGTTCTTGAAGATGTAAATATTATACAAGATATTTTTTTAAAACTAATCACAAAATAACAGCCAGATTTAAGATGACATTGTCATGCTAGATAATAAAGGTTCAAAAATTTTTCAGTCGTTACACCTAAGAAATAGTCACATTACTGACGTCTTTTTAAAAATAGGTAATCACTTTATAAGTCAATCTCGTTAAAGATATATAATAGTTCTATCCGCTTACTCCCAATGTTGAAACAAAAATATAAAAAGTTTGACAATTAATGGGTATATAAGTGTTCTTGGCAAAATTTATATTATTTATCCGATCTGATTTTATTTTTTAAATGTTATTTTTAACTGTATAACACTTCTTGATTGACCTGTTTACATGGAATTACTTCATTTTGAATAAAGAAAACGTTATTCAAAATTATTTTTACCCTAATAGGCCATTTAATGGGAATTAGCGGATTACTCGTACAAAAAAGAGAGTAAGTAATATTTTATAATTTTCAGTTCGGATATAAATTTAATTGATAATCAAATATACATAATGAAATAGCATCGTTAATTCATTAATTACTAAAATGGCTTACCAATGTCTAAGCAAAAATGAAAAAAAAAATCTTGTTTAATTGATTTTTCTGGTGCAATTACAATATTCAAATAAATTATATAGCCAAAATTAATGTGTACTAAATAACCAGTGACGAAAATCGGCGTCAGCATTATTAAACTTACAGACAATATTTTAATAAATTCTGAACAAAATAATATATTTGCTATTATTAGAAATTGGAATGACACATTCTTCTTAATCTTTATTCTTTATCGAAATATATCTCTAAAATATAACTGGAAAATTCATTAATGTTCAATATGACCGCATAAAGTCGATAAAAGAAGATCCTTGTCTACTTGTTAGGTAGATATTTTATATACACTAAAATATGCCTGAAGAAAATTTAAAGGTTCATAGTAAGGGAATTATGTTTTTCTGATATCGATAAATATATCGATATATTTTACGGATATCGATATATATTCTCACGTTACAATAGTCACATTAAACCCTCTCATCTCATTAATTTAATAATTAATATTAATATTTGAATATAAATTATAATATAAATTAATATTGAAATATTTTTTGGATCTTCCAAGTCACTGGTTGTAATAGTCAGAAATAGCAAGAAAAATACTGATAGTAAATAATGTGTAAGATGCTTTAATATTCAATTTAAAAATTATTAAAATGTAAAGTTACTCTCCTATGTACGAGTTTTTATTAAAATATTTATAGTCTTAGATCATTTGGCACACCTTGTCTTGATCACATCATTTCATGAGTATCACTTATGCGGTTCCAGTACATTTCATTAATGGTACTAACTGATATTCATAATAAGAGTTTCAAATCAAATTGGAATATAAATACAAATAATTGTCTCGTTTTAAATTTATCCAAAACATCGGTTTACATATAAAATTGTAAAATGTTACAAATACACACGGAGTTACTTCAAAGTTCCGATTTTTTAAATAATTGTCAGGGGAACTGTCGTTTAGCTTCATAATGACTTCATTGTACGAATAAAGATAATGTCATGAAATAAATTAAGCGTCGAAAAATCCTGATAAACATATTATGAATGTTCTGCCACTATTTGCAATGATATAATCAACGCAATTAAATGTATTCGAACTTTCATTGCCTATAATTAGGCTGGAAACAGTGCTCGACCGACGGTCAGCGCTGACAGTCAGGACGTACGGTCAGCGCTGACCGTCGGTCGAGCACTGTTTCCAGTAGTTATCTAGACGGAAAGTAAGAACTGAGACGTTTACCGCTCTTGCTTCCAACTAATATGGAGCTCCTTTCATTATTGTTATTTCATATTTAATACGGTTTATTTGTTATTATTACCTTTACTCGTTAATATCACGAAGTATTTTCAGACTAAAATTGTATAAATTTAGTTACGTTTAGTTTTAAAAATAAATACCAACAAAGTTGCACGCAAGAGGGCTGTCAAAAAATATAGTTGAGGTTGTAGTCTTTTCTGAGTAATAAGAACTGATTGATCGAAATATGTTGTAGCAATAAAACAACGAAGAGCCACATAATTATATCAAAGATATACAGTAATTGGGCTATGTGACCCCATGAACTGCTTATACACTAGTAAGTCAAAGAGAGTGCTTAGTCCAGAGTGAACATCTATCATGCATCTACAACACTGATTACATATATCCTTGGATGTAATGGTAAAAGTAATAATAAATAATAGGTAAGAAATAGCTGCGCACTGGTGAGATAATAATAAAAATAATAATAAAAATACTACTGAACCAAACTTAAAATTTAATAAATATGATTCAAATATTAATAATCATTTTAAAACTAAATGAGTTCCGAAGTAGTTACAGTTTACATTACAAACAAAATCTTAAAATCATCTTAGAACAGCTAAACATAGAAAGGGAACAGCTATTGAAGTTTATTCACTATTTTATAACATTCACGTATTATTATGTTTAGAGTAAACAAATTAGTACATATATTGTATTATTATTCGATTGCGATTTCAGGTCGTATAGTGTATCGTATAGGTTTGTCTAACCGTTCATTTCTTTAAACTTTTAATACATTTTACATATCTATCTCTAACAATAATTTAATGTTTAATAAAAATATTTTTTGATATTGACACTGTAATTTTCACTGTTAAAATGGTAAACAAAATTTAAGCAAAATTCAAGAATTATTTAATTTTTAGAAATGGACAAGGAAATCAACAAAATAATTTTATATTAAAAATTTTCTATTCGATAGATATGTAAAAAGATATTATCTGTTTAGACGTATTCGGTATAGAAAGCATTACTAGTACAATTTCCGTTATCGTTAGGCGAATCAGGATGTTCTTCGGGTTCCACACCATTCGTTCGCATTTCATCTCGGACCTGATAAAATAAAAAATAAAAATTACCCACGCATTTCATTGATATTCAAAAAGTACTTGAACGATAGATTTAGTGATACACAATAATTTTGATATTGAAGTATTATAAGTTTACCTTTTCCACCTGTCTCATTACTCGTAACATGTTAAGACCAGCAAGATTCTTCAATTCTTGAACGCTCCATTGTCCACTGCGAAGAAGCTCCGCAAATAGCTCCGGGTATTTAGACACATCCTCCAACCCCCTTGGCACACTAAAATATATATTATCATTTATTAAAAAGCTTGTTTTATAACGAATTAGGGGTGACAAATAAGTACACAGTCCACATGAGGGTAAGTGAATGCTGTGTCTCATAGACATCTACATTTATCCCCGATTAAGAATTAAAATGCAGATGCGTTCCCCTCTGAGGATTAAGATGGAATGCCTCGTTTCCAGTAAAAAGAATCTCCGGTTCTCTACACTCACCATACGAAACACAGCAGCAATGCTGTGATAATTAATGGAAATAGTAATATGGCTTCATATAAGGATAAACAGTAAAATATTGTAATCATTATGGGGAATATTACAAAAGTGTTCGTCAGTGCAAGATTTTGGGGACTAAGAGTATATATCGTCCTTCAGGAATATTCGACTAAGTAGCAGTTCAACGTAAGCAGTAACACTATTAGCAACATTTTTATCTAATACATTGTTTACTAATGAGCTGAACGTAAGTAACCAGAGTTCGATTCCCGTCATCGCCAAATTAGTAATATTTATCAGAAGCATTTTCTTGTTTAGTTCGTGGTATTTTAATTAACTTTCCTTAACCGCAAAACCATGTGCGATGTGTGACCGTGTATTGACAGTGTAGGAATATCCACTACCCCATATCATTCCGTGGCTGACGTAAGAGGTGACAGAGGGAAATAAACTAGGGAAACAGCGTCTTCCTAATAACAACAAAAATAGAAAAGCTGCCAAGCGTGCCAAGCGTGGCAGCTATGGAAAATGTCCCCCGTATGAAGTAATCTATGTTAGAGACCTATGTTTAGTAGTGCGTTTTTAATTACCTGTAAAGATTACGGTAATGTGCAGTAAAGAAGTACACATATTAGTATTTAACTTTATCTTCAAAACACTCAAGGTATTTCTATTCGTTAAACTTCACTATGTTTCAGATAGTCATTACACTAAATCATGGCACTTTTAAATATAAAATACAGAAAAATATTTAAATACTAAACTTAACTAGTAGCATAGCTTAATAACTTATCTGAAAGAAAAACAAACCGATTAACTCCGTCATAATCACCGCCAATGCCTATGAAGTCCGCTCCAACCAATTTCTTGATATAATGGAAATGTTCTGTAGAATAAACGTGTATAATTATTTTATTAATTTTTAAATTAACATAGTACATTGTACAAATCCTATTTAAACACAAAACGCTTCTATTAGAATAATGAACGTTAGCGATCCACTCGCATGACGCGTCACAGCGTCACGCGTTCAAGTTGTTGTAATTTTGTTATACCTATATTGGTTGATAATATATTTGTAAATATTTAAAATTAAGGGCCTTATTATGTGTGTGGCGTCTTTGAAATAAACGTTTCTATCTTTCACTACCACATAGGTAAAATGTTACTACGTATACAGAACGTTAAAGTAGAAACGGATCTTATAAAATAGCAGTATACATTAATACCGATGTGGTATTTAAATTTACTATTTCATGCATACAATGTTCACTTATTAAAATGACTATCAAATAAAACCTATTTGCCACTTCAGCTAATAACTGATCTGTTGGGCTCTGTTGATTATTGTGGTCCTACTGCGCACATCCTTATTATAAAATTTATTACGCAGGGATACTGCGAGTATAGCCCTCTCCATCAAATCGAAGGTAAATGATGAACCCATTGATGTTGATATATCGTAGCCGTACCGGTAGTTAATCTAGCAGTGGAATCGAAGAAAATATATAGACGGAATCATAGTACACATACGCAAGACAAAGAGGCTTATTATACTCTTCGGCCTTTTGCACATTTTCTTGAAGGGTATGTATGTAGTTTATGGTACTAAAGCCTTTTCGGAAACCGGCATTACCAGGAGGCAGAAATTCGTCAAGTCTGCATGCAGGACGATTCATAATGACTTTCCAAATCAGCCCGTGAACGGGACTCAGAAAGAGAATGAAGATAACAGCACTTGTACTCCAAACCATGAAGGATGAAATTGAATATCTTTGAGTACCGAATTTCTACCTACTTTCAGAAGCTCTGGAGAAATTTAAACCTCACACCATTATTTAGTTCGAAAAACCGAAAATCGATGGGAGAGAAAGGTTCTCGAGCAAAAACCTCGTAAATGAAGTTACAGGGTGGTCCCCCACTAAATAGAGTGTCGACTTTGTAAGACAAACATTAAGTCGATTGATGCATGTATCTTAGAACCGAATGTTTTAGGATTCCTTAGGTTAAGCCTATGTTTAGTAGTGAACTTGTGAAGGACTATAACACCAATGTCAATTGAAATTAAAAAAGGTTGAAGATTATAACTTAATTAAAAGTAAAGGAGAATAAAATGATATAAATAGATGTCATTAGCACTACTTCATAAGAAAAAATTAATAAATTTCTTACCAGCAACGTCCGTCAGCGTAGCATTTGGTGCACATTTCACAAAGTCAGGGAAAAAGTTAACCATTATAATTCCACCGTTTTCTTTCTACAAAAAAAAATATGGACACTTTTGAAACGAACTCGTATTCCTTAAAGTTTGTGAAAAAAAATTTCTTTTAAAATTCCAGCAACACCGTGTTGAGCAGAAATAATGGATATGTTTAAAAATATAAAAACACAAATTTAAATTAATTGAACCAAGTGATAGTTTAACGTGATGTTTTAAATATTTGTGTGAATTATACTTAAAATTGTTCGTTTTAAAATTTGTATTGACACCCACGGAAGATCAGCGGCGAAGTACTTTTACCTACGAAGACTATGCTGAGTTGGATATCTTTCATAATTTTTTATAGGATTTTATAATATGTAATTATTGTAAGCAAATTGCTATAATGTGTTACTAAATAAACTGATTTTCTTTCATTACATTCCTATATAACTTACCAACGACTGTATGATATCGTCAGGGACATTGCGTTTATGGGGGCAAAGACTGTACACGGATGAATGGCTGAAGATGACCGGTGCCTTTGATACACGAATGGCTGCCCTTGTCGTGTTCTCTCCAACATGGGATAGGTCCACCAACATACCAAGCCGATTCATTTCTTTCACGACTTTCTACGAGTAACAAAAAATAGTTTTTTACTTAAACGTTATTATTTATTTGAATTGAAGATTAATCGCCAGTACAAATTAATGAGACAAAAATGTTTAATTTAATCATTCGCATGGCAAATAAAATTCGTAGTGTATGCATAAATATTCATAAATAATAAGTACTTAATATATAAACTCATTAAAGAAATTATATTTAACTTCAATATTCCGAAATTTATAAAAAGACATATCAAATTATAAACGATAAGTTGGGGAAAAAGTTTTTTCGCATTTTATAAACAAATTCAAGACGTTATTTTTTCAAAGTTTAATTACATTTATCTATACATATAATAAAACTGTAAATAGCAGATGTCTGTACATTTTATATTTTTGTAATAAAAGTGATTGAGGGGTACTAAAAATAAGTAATTAAATACATTTCTACCATTTTTAGAATTTTCTGTCTGTCTGTCTGTCTGTCTGTCTGTCTGTTTGTTTGTTAACGTATCACGTATAAAGTACTAATTTATATCATAAGAATTGTTAAGGAAATTATAAAGTGTATCTTCGGGTTACATTTAGTCTTTATTTCATTAAAATCAGTTCATTCCATCAAAAGTTATGATAAATATTCTGAAGTATGGGTAGGGAAGTATAGGTACGAATTTGCTCAACGGTGGCTTTGTTTGAGTCATCAAGTGCATTTTAAACTAATATCATATCATAAATCATAGTTAAATTATGTAAAATAATGATATAATTATGTATATCTAAAACGCAGTAAACAAAAGTATTAAAGAACGTATTAAATATATTATACAAAAATATATTAACCTTATTAACTAAATCTGAAGCACAATAGTTAACCCATTTCTTCGATAGATGGTGGTGTGGCATAAATGTGATACAAAAAGGCAGGTTAAAATTTATTCCTGTAGTTGAGTTTCATATTTGCTTCTAACCTTTATATTAATGACACGCTGCCCTACTGCGTGTTGACAATCTCATTTATTTTTAATTTTTTTACCGCCGAGTACTCTATGTGGTAAATCAAATTTTAAGAGCTATTAACAATTTCATTTTTCGGCGAGGATCAAACTTTCTTTTTTGCTTACTATGCAGGCACTGATTTATAAGTTCTTTTATGTTTTTTATTGTATCAATCGTGTGAATTATCTCTTATTTTTAGAATTGATGTTAACAGCGCCATCTCTCTTAAGTCTATACATATAATAAAAATGGTAATAACATGTTATGTCTGTTTCTGAATATTGTATAGTATATTAATTTGCGACTAAAGTCATTATGGGGACTGTGAATCATTAAATAAGTACATTTTTATAATTTTTAGAATGGTACTATCTGACGGTCTGTCTGTTTGTTTATGGACGCTTGACGTTTTGAGTAAACATCTTTTTTTTTTCAATGAAATCCTTAAGAAAATCATAAAGCGTATTATCAAGTTCATTTAATCTTTGTTTTATTGAAATTGGTTAATTCTATCGAAAGTCATGATTATTATTTTGAAATGTAGGTTCGAATTTGTTTAATGGCGCCACAAAATTCCAAAAATAGTAATAAAAAGATTCGTGTGTAAAAAAAACGTTCTATTATAATATATTTCGTATCGTTCTATTATAGTACTTACAGTAAAAATATGTTTTCCTTAAATTAAAAAAGGATGTTTTCTCACAAAGAACGTAATAGATGGCGTTGTACAAATTACAACCTTTTCTGAATTGCGGTGTTAAGATTTTTCGCAGGTGAATCGTATTGAGACTCACTGTAATAATTTATGTCCATGAGCCTGACGAAGCTGCAAGCCTGTAAGGTATATATACAGAGGTATTGAAATATTTAATTATTCAACAAAACTCGACCAAAACTAATAGTAGCAAAATTGCAATAAATGTCGTGATAGTGATATTGTTTTATAGCCAGAATCACTCTAATACCAAATAACTTTTTTTTCAGTTTTAAGTAAAGTTAAGTTGCAGCCTATTTACGTCCCACTGCTGGGCACAGGCCTCCTCTCATTTCTGAGAGGGTTTTAGGGCAAGGAAATGTCCACCGCGCTGCCCCAATACGTGTTGACGAACTTCACATGTCATCGAAATATTATTTTTTATTTCTCAAACATGCAGGTTTCCTCACGATTTTTTCCTTCACCGCCGAGCACGTGGTAAATCAGCACTTAAAATTGCAATTAACAATTTCATTGGTGCCGGCGGGGATCGAACCCGGGTTGCTCGAGTACTGTGAAGCTTACAGCGAGCGCTAACCATCTGAGCTACCACGGCTCAGGCTTCAGTTTTAAGATAGGGATAATAACATCGATGTTGGCATCGCTAGCTCAACATCGATGTTCGATGTTTAGGCCACTCAAAACATCGATGTTGACCATTATCGATGGTTTTTGTATATGTGTAGATAGTTACACATTGTTTTAAAATTATGTGGGTATACACAGCAAGGAAAAAGTAACAATTAACTTGAATATCAATTTACGTAGAATAGTTATTATGCGACAACCGACATCGACACTATAAAATAAAGCGAATCAGTGACCATTGTGACATTACAGGAGACACTTGACAATTAAGTTTGACTCACCATACTGACATTTTTTTAGATTAACGATGCGTTCAGAAATTCTGAATTATTCAAAATTTTTAATCTTCAGAGCAGATGCAAGATTTAGTTGATATTGATTTCGCGAGTTCGCATTGTTTGCAAGTTCCCAATTATCGATTATGGGTTCATTGACGTCGATGTTTCGATGTTTGACATATGTCAACATCGATGTTAAAACATCGAAGTTTTAATTTTTAACATCGATGATCATCTAACATCGCTATTTTAAGTGTGTTTCCCACTCAGCGTGTGTTATGCGACGATCGTAAATAAAGCGCAAGGTCAAACTTTACGCGTCAGTACTGATTGTTTTGCACATGGCCAGCTCTATATTGCTTTTTCTCGCGTTAGTAGTCCCCGTAACCTTTTTCTGTACGCCCCGGCTAAGTCTACTTCTATCGTCGTTTACACAGAAGCTCTAGCATAAACGACTTAGAACTTTGAGAATATCGATTTATTTTGTTACCACTTATTCATAGAGTAATGATATAAATCGGTTAATATTCTCTTACCCTAAACGTCAAATTCTTTAAGTAAAACCTATATTCGCGAGCTACGCCGCGGGCACAGCTAGTTTATAATATATATGTGCCATTTTGTTCGATAACTTGTTGCCGTCTTGTAGGGTAGTGATATAACCCCGATTCTGTTGAAAAATTGGGATTTCTGATCGAAAAAAAATGCGACAAGTAGTTTTGACAGTCCTCTCTTGATGTTAACCTAACATCACCCTTAGAATTCCGAAGAGACCGAAACAGATGAAATTCTGAGGGTGGTCAGAAATATATGGTGGATTCATTAACACTTCCCAACCAAGCTCTCTCAATTTTTACTAAGTAATCAAATATGGTCTGGCGTTATCATGATGAAAGACCACTCCATTTCTGTTGATCAATTCCGGCCATTTTTTCTCAATTTCTTGCTTGAGGTTGTTGGCAGCCGAGATCTGAATCGATGGTTTGGCCCGGTTGAAAAAGCTCATAATAAACGATGGTCTTTCAATCTCAACATACATAGTATCACCTTATTGCGTTTTAATCCGGTTTTCTCTACAGTCAGTAGAGCTTTACTACACTTTGACCATGACCTTTATCGCACTTTCTTATCGTAGAGCCACTTTTTATCACCAATGATCAATCTTTTCAAAAATGGTTTGGTTTCATTACGTTTCAATAGAGAATCGCAAATTAGTACACGATTCATTAGGTTTCTTTCAGTGAGCTCGTGTGGTACCCAAATATCGACGTTTTTGTATAGCCAGACTTGTTCAAATGGGTCAAATCTGTGGTCAATTACTACCAATATGCTGATCTTGCTTCACGTTTTCAAAAATGGCATCTACTTTATCCATATGAGGGTGACCAAAGCGAGCTGCATCTTTAACATTAAATTTCTTAGGCCTATGAACGTCACAAATTTTTTTTCTGATCCTGACACACCTCTCTCGCTTCCTCCACATCCATATACCTACGCATACAAGCTCGTCGGTCAAAGGTACTCTTAATTTGACCCATTTTCAATATATCGCCAATTTGGTCGATAAACTTTCACCTAGGGTGTCCCTTCCTGACTCTGCCGTTCACCTCTGTAACATAAATTTGCTTCGTCACTCTTTCCTCATTCATTCTTTCTAAAACCTTCTTAGCATTGTGCGAAAACTGTATGCTAAGGTACTAATTGAAAAGTTGTGAAAGAAACTGATGGAAAAATTTAAGATGTGCAAGCGGGTTTTAGAAAGGGAATGGGGTGTACGGATCAGGTCTTTTCCATGCTCATGGTAGAGCGTTTATACGTGGTAGAGCCGTGCTGCGGCTATATTAGTAGTATAGTTGTAGCACGAATAGGTCGGCTCGACGGGGGAAGGACCACGCTCTCACAGAATACCAGCGTAAAATAGCAGCTTAACACTGCTGTGTTTCGTATGGTGAGTGTAGAGAACCGGAGACCCTTTTTACTGGAAAAGAGGCATTCCATCTTAGTCCTCACGTTGTCACCCGTGAGGACTAAGATGGAATGCCTCTCGCATCTGCATTTTGAGTCTTTATTGAGGATAGATGTAGATATCTATGGGTCACAGTAACCACTTACCATCAGGTGGACTTTGTGATCGTTTGTCAACCTATCCTATAAAAAAAATGGTCGTGGAGAAGTTTTTGCCCATAAACCAAAAAATTTTTTGTGCTTACGTGGACTTGGAAAAGGGTTATGACAAAGTAGATAGGGATGTGTTATGGCAAACACTGAACTCATTTGGATTGAACGCTGGGTTGATACAGGCACTGAAGTCTCTGTATAGGGATTCTAGTGCTTGTGTCAGGATCAACGGGGCCTATTCAGACTGGTTTGGCATCCATAAAGGTGTCAGACAGGGCTTTATAGCTTCCCCGTGGCTGTTCAACCTATTAATGGAAAATTTGAAAGTTGAAGAATGCGGGTTAAAAATGGGTGAGTTAACCGTCAAATTCATTTTCGATGATCAAGTCATACTTGCATCGTCGGCGGCCGAGTTGGAAATGATGGTTACATTAATGAACAGGTCATTAAGAGAAAAAGGAATGAAAGTGAACGAAAGTAAGACAAAAGTTATGGTTTTTGAAAGAGAAGAAAGTAAAACGATATGTGAAATAAGACAAGAAGGGGAGTTGGTCGAGCAAGTAGATGAGTTTGCGTATTTGGGATGTGTATTTAGCAGGGATGGTAGATATTATAAGGGTATAGAACGACGTGTGAACGCAGAAAATAGAGTAAATGGGGCTCTACACTCTATTTTTGGAAGTCAGAATGTGTCCAAAAAGGTACGTATGGCAATTCACAATGCTGTGTTTGTCCCTACTTTAATGTATGGTAGTGAAAGTTGAGTGTGGCAAAAGAAGCACGAGAGTACAATAAATGCTGTAGAAATGCTGTCATTAAGGTGATGTTAGGGATGAATCTGAATGACTAGGTGAGAAATTGTTTGATAAGAGAAAAGTTTGGTTTGCAAGATGATGTTGTGACCAGGATAAGGAAAGGAATGCTTCGGTGGTTTAGTCATGTAGAAATTTTATATACATATCTACAAATACGTAGAACCTTTTTCCCCGACTTATAATATAAAACCAGACAGTGCGAGTAGGACTAACAGCCCAGAGGGTTTTTAAACATTTATTTATATTTTAAGACTGTTCATCCACCGGTAATCGATTCCATAATAATTGATGATGATTCGAACCCGGGACTTCACGATCAGCATTCACGCTTACGATCACTAGACCAAGGCTGTATTTTATAAAAGGTTGTTAAGAATCGTTAAATTGCTACGCGAGCTAGAGGTAATGGGATGAAATATTTATTGTGTTGAGTTAATACTTCTTATTATGTAATATTACATATATTATATGTAATATATATGTATGTTATATATTATGTAATATTATTACATAACATAAACTATTCATTGTATTATTTTGATATTAGTGTTCAGCTACATAAGTTAATTTTTATTATATTTGTTATAAAACATAGTAAAATACAATAATATTAGTTATTAAATTAAACAATTAATTCTACATATTATGTAAGTTATGTAGTTGGGTAGCTAAACACTTGACTAAATTATATTCGCTTGTGCATATAAAACTTCAATGTAACTTGTAAAATAATCTTACCTCTCCAAACTCCGTAAGTCCATTGGCGACAGGTGTTTCATTGGACGAATCGGCCCTACGAAACAATAATACAAATAAATGGTGCAAAGTTAAGTAAAGTTAACCGCTTTCATTCGCTGGCATTAATTCGCTGAGCATATTTAATAGTAATATATAATAATAAATAGTATAAAATTATTTATTATATATATATATATATATATATATATATATATACACATATAGTATATAATTATTTATTAATATGTAATTCGCAATAGGGTTTACATTTATAACGAGTTCTTTATGCATCTCGTATTCGACATTAAAATATTTAAAAAAAAAACACAGCTAATATTAATGTAGTTTTTTATTTTCAACATTATTACATTCAATAGGCATAAATGGTAAAAACAAACTGTAGTATATTATATATGTATAGTTATTATTTAGCAGTATGGGCAAATGTCCACCCTAGTATGAAAGTAGTGCAAGTTAAACAAACCATTGAAGCTTATATTGAAATTAATGTAAAAAATTTAACACTATGGATGACATAAGTTATTGATTAACTGCTTATGCTTTTTAAGACCATATTCATATATCTACTTTGTTTCAATATGATTAATTGTATTTCATTTGAATTATCATTTAACAACGGTTCTAGTAGGTATGAACACATTTGAGAAGTTTGCCATTGATATGTAGATTATATTTATTATTTGCAATTTCAATTTCAAAAAGCAATAACATTCTTGAAAACTAAAGTGTAATTTATTTGGAATGAAGTGGTTAAACCTGCCTTTAATTTAATTTTAGTATTTATATTATACGCGTTGTATTCAAGTCAGATTGCGCAGCCGTTGAATACACAAATTCGTAACAGTTTATAGTATGTAATTGCATAATTGGCACTACAAATAAAATTACGCTAAGCTCAATATAAAATTACCGAAAATAATTATAATAGCGTGATTTAATCATTTGCAGTAAAATACTTTTCTATGAACCAACTATCACTATAAACAAATTAAAAATGTAATCAATCATGATTAGGAGTAGAAAATGCATCGTAAATACAAAACTATCGATGAACTTACCAAGGAGTGTTGCACGTGTGTGTGAGTGTCATGTATCTGACCCCGAGTTGATAGTAACTGCGCAGAACGCCAAGGGAATTGGCAATAGAGTGTCCACCTTCGATTCCAATCAGCGAAGCAATTTTTCGTGGCCTTTCACTGTGTGCTTGCAATATGTCTGTAACAGTTAAAATTATTAAAACTCACCATATAACGCTTGTTTCAATATTTATTATGTTACTCACACAAAACCAATAAATATTTTTGTTTTTTGTTTGTAAGTATGCTTACGTTAATTTCAGTTAGGATTGATATTGAATAACAATTGAATTATAAACATAATCTCAAATTAAGCTTCGCTAACCCGTAACTGATGTAGCCAATTGAAGTTGATGAGGATATTTGTCTACCAGGCGCTTGATAACGTCAATTTGTTCCAGCGTCAGTTGAACGGCATCCTTATTTTGTGTTGCACACGGAACAAAAGCCGACCAGAACTGTAAATGTGTTTGAGTCATAGAAAAAATATTTCACAAATACATAATTTTAAACCTAGGTGAAATTATAACTTTATGGTAAAAAGTTGGCAAATGGAACAATATCCTGTAATACGAAATATTTGTACCAAAGGAAGACTAAAACTATATGTGAGTCTAGAATTATCTATTGATAAAATAAAATTAGGAATTATTGAATTGTATTCCGAGAGCGAATACATAGCGTTCCATTAAAGCTGCATCCAGTAACCTAGTACTTATTATGGCGAATATTCTTGTTATTTCCATTGATTTCATATGAAATATAAAAAAAAATTGGAAGGAAATTAGACATAAATTTGACTAAACGTGCTTTATTAATGAATTCTTAATGAATTCTTTGAGAGAATAGATCATCCAATCAAATTATTTGTATTACCTATAAAGTTCGTTGGCACGGCGTGCAGTTAAATTTAAATAAAAATATTGTACTTTTAATAAAAAATATTTGTTTATTCATTAGTGAGTATTATAAAACATGTCTCTCTATTATTAAGGATACGGACCGCGAAAGTCAAGCAGTGGGTTCAAATCCGCTATTCGACTACTGTGGAATATTACTCCTAGCACAAGCATTTCAGCTTATCTGGAGTGGTAAACTGGAGGTGTATTAGTAGTGTTAGAGCATTGCTAGTGTTCTTTAAAACAATTGGTTTTCACATAGGTACGATTTGTCTGAATAATCTCAGCTACGCTGACGACGTGGTGCTACAGAGTGCCTCAATCAGGGGACTTAGATGGTTATTAGTCATATGCAAGCTTATGCGCGGGGTCATGGTATGAAGTATAATGTTAAAAAAACGCAGATGATGGTGTTCCGCTCGGGCCGAGGCCCGGAGGGACTTCCGTTAGTATTTCTGGACGGTGAAGCTATTACAAGAGTGGATCTATTCAGGTACCTGGGGCATATCCTGACTGAGGATTTGCGTGACAACCTTGATATAGAAAGTGAAAGGAGGGCTCTGGCTGTTCGGTGTAATATATTCACACGCCGGTTTGCGCGGTGCAGTCCCAAGGCAAAGCTGCCTCTGTTTAGAGCATATCGTCAATGCTTCTATACTTGTCGGCTTTGGTTGGACAACACCAGAGTGCAGTATAATAATGCATACAGCATTCTGATGAAACCGCCTAAACATTGCAGTGCGTCGAGCATGTTTGCCGACGCCGGGGTTCCCGATTACTTCGCCGTTATTTAGGTCTCGGGTTGCAGCTTTTGGTCCCGCGTCCGTGATTCCGAGAAAGAGATTGTCAGGGTGTACTCCGAGTGCTCAGAGAATCCCATTCTAAAATATTGACGTGCCGTGCATCGCGACAATAACTGTAAATAGATAGTACGAACGCCTTTTTGGAGACAATTTTAGTATTAACTTATGTTTTGAGTTGAATTGTCTTTTATTTATTTTATGTATTGTATCCTTATAATTATATTTTCATTTTGTTTTTAACATTTAGTTATATTTGAAATGGGTATAAAAAAACCTTAAATAAATGACTATTATTATTATAATTAGGGTATTTATAACGTGTTCTCATCTAGTTGAGTTGATTAAATATATAAAAGGATATAGTAAATAAATATACATAACTATACATAACTATATATATATATATATATATATATATATATATATATATATATATATATATATATATATATATATATATATATATATAGCGATGCGACACCGGTGTGGCGGTAGTGCGGCGGCAGTGCGGCGACAGTGCGGCTAGGTCTCAGCAAGCCTTACTTATTACACTGTGCAAGCTGATTTATGTCATGAGATTAGATGCCTATTGGAATTAGAAATTTAGTCTAAAATAAAAATACATTGAGTAATTTGTTCATACTAATAAAAAGGTACATATGTAACAATAGATAATGGTTAATCACTGTACGAAAATTATATAATGTGAAATGCATATACACTTCATAAAATTTAAATAATTAATACTATGAAAACCTTACTTTTAAAGAATAATAATTAATTTAAAAATCAAAACTAGAAAATGATTGTAATGAAGCACACGTAGAAAATTTAAAGTCGGATAGAAACTCCGGATCGTTTTATTGAATCGCACAATCTCAATTCACAACAATTGAATTGCAGCAGCACGTGCCTTCAAAAGTTTAGTTGGAATCAAGTTTAAATGCTGAAAATTTGATCATTTATATAAAGGCAAACAGTAGTCAAATCAACTCGTAAATACAATTAAATTATAAAATGAAACGCAGAACTTAAGTGTTACGGGCGACTTTTGTTTGAAATAACATACGAACAGCAATATTTCGGCTTGTTTACATGTAATCATAATTGCAACTATTCTGAGAAGCCTAATCAAGATATAATATTATTAGATAGCAAACTTCGTGCCATAAAAATATATCTATATCTAACGAAAGGAAGCCTTCAAGCTCACAGATAGGATGGACAGTAAAGAATATAAAAATTAGCCGTAAAATGTCCCGACTTTGTCGTTGTGAGTAGCCAAGGCTATTTGAAAAGTAGTTCTTTTTATGGCTAGTATCTTTTTATTTTCTTCACATAAAATATTGTGTACATTTTTAGTTGTAATGTTGTATTTATAAGACTTCCTTACATTAAAAAAAGTGTTTCCTATTTAAAGACACAACCAGACTTAAATTTTGATGAGATAAGCAATTATTTTTTATTTATATGACGAGAAGCAGTTTTACTAAAATCAATTTTTCAACAAAAAATTAAGCGTGTAAAAGACTACACAGCTTTTAATACATATTTTGATACTAATAATACTATTATCAACTACTCCAAATAACTTTAAAATGCTTGTGCTAGGAGTGATTGAAGACGTTAAGAAAATGGCGAATTTTACTTATTCATAATTTGTCAGATTCGATGTCTGTACCATTAAATATTTACTCTGTACTTGTCACCTCTGCGGTAAAGGAAACTACCGTGAAATAACCTGTATGAGTGAGATATAAAATATTTCAAGAACAAGTGAAACCCGCTAACAAATCTAACTCAAACTATTCATATATTAAAACTTTGGATAAATTAAGTATAAAGAAATTTGAAACTTACTTGAGCTCCGACCATTCCTTCCCTCAGTCTAGGCAGATCTGTGTGAGAATACTTCGAAATAGACCAAGGTTCAACTCTAGTTAGATCTGTGTCCAGTTCGAACTCGTTGATCTGATTCCGAAGAAACTTGCGAATGTTCCAAGGCAGATCATTGTGCCTATATCAAAAAATAATTTAATTAATACCCACCCGACCGATATCTACGTGTTGGAGAATTAGTGAATAGTCTAATTAAATAAATGCAAGTGCAGGCAAGTGAAATAGCAAGTAACCCGTCTCCTCATTTGACAAAAATATGCTAACATAAATTAATTAACTAGGTAATAAGTGGATAGCCTAATTAAAATTAAGTCCTAAGAGCAAGAGAAACATGGCTCATTTGACATTGATATATATTAGAAAAAGATAAGATACATGATAACAAGAGTATATTAAAACCATACCCATCAGTGAGAGGTACTTCTTCCAATATTTGCTTAGCAATCTCAAGTCGCTCACGGTCATAGGACGCAGCGGCTACAACGGCTGTAATTGCTAGCAGCACACAAGCTACCGCTCTTCTTTCGTTGCGATTGATCATCCTTACTACGAATAGAAGATAAATTACAATAAAGTCATCAAACTTGCGTAGTATTTAGCAAGGGCTTTATTTCATAAGTGTGTGTTTATTTTATAAACATCGATATTGGCGATCGCATTGGATGCTTTTTCATACTTTCATCATACTTTATACTTTAAACTTTATTAAATTCAACCTGGGTCTTTTTTACCTACTGCAGTCCATGGACACCTGCAGTCAACTTCAAACAAAGAAGGCTACAGATGCTTTGTCACCTCTGAGGGTTAAAATGGAATGCAGCTTGTAATTATTAGGGTATTAGAGGTAGTAGTAGTATATGGCCTACCGCGCACTAGGCAGCCTGACTGCGCAGCCAAGCTTCGGCAGTCGAAATATTTGAGCAGCCACTTCTAAACAGCCAATGGACGGCCAGTTGTGACCCTCTCTTCGTTATTTTATGGTTTCGGAACACAAAATACGTCTGCCTGCTACGACAAGTGCGCGGTGACTGACGGGTGACGGCAGCTACATACATTTGCCTACTCGCTCTGGCTGCGCGCAGCCAACGGGCTGCCGTGCAATCAGGCGCACTTTTAAGGCTGCCGCAGCCGGGAGTTCGTGGTTGCTTAGGTGCGCGGGCTCCCATACACCGTCATATGTTCTACTGGCTGCCGCAGTCTGGCTGCCGCAGCCAGGCTTCCTAGTGCGCGGGGGCCCTATAGGTTATCTTATAGGGAGATTATGGGGATTTCTAGAAAAATATCATGACTTTGAATAGTATAACTATAATACTTTATGTCAAACGTAAAATACCCAGACCGGGGACGTGATGAAGCGTCAAAGTTGCGGGACGTCTGATTCTGTTATCGTCGATCGGCCTGTCAAGCGTGGCGATTACACGAATCCTTTCATGCTACTATTAAAGTTAGTATAATTCTGTGTCGATGTATCACACCTCTCTTATGAGGTATACTCTGTAAGTATGTATAAAACTACGAAGTACTTGCTTAATTCTACATTTATATTGATTTGTATCTTATTAGATAATTTAATTGTGTGCCTTGTGCCTTGCGCATGTCTATTGTTACGCTTTTTGTTGAGTTGGCTTTTTGTTGTGCCTTTCTTTCCTAAATGTTAAGTTTTTTTTAAATTATTTATACATTTTATAAGAGTGTATTTTTTATATTGGAGTCTATGATTAGCTAAGTTTATTTTATTGCATCTAAGTCTCTGGCGTTTACTGAAAATCAGCGTTATAGTTACCACTATGTGGTTTCTATAACATTTGTGCTGAGCAGACACCATTTTAGTTCCATTCCAATAACTTATTTTGTTATGTTAATTTGTGTTTATGTTTAGAACTAAATAAATTATATTATTATTATTATTATTATTACCATAAAATGACGCCGCCATGCCTTTTTTGAATTATTTCAATACAACGTGTATATTTTTGTGTAATAAATAAAGTTATATTTTATATCACCATTTTAAAAAGTGCGCGTCGCGTCGCGAAGCGTAACATTTCGGTGTAAACTGACCCTAACAGATAGCAATTGATTTTTTTATACAATATGTAACAAAAAACCTGTGGTTCCAATTAAGTGCGTTTTCAGAATCAATATTCAAACGTATAGAAATAACTTTCAAACAAAAACTCAGGATCTACTTTAACCTTATCGAGTAACCATCTACAGTAATCTATTCTCGGCCCGTAGTCGTTGGGAAGAAGACACTGAACTCGACGATAATGAAACGGCCATCATCTTTGAGGGCTCTCCAACCAGGCGTATGGTTCACACCTAGTTCACGTGCCTTCCCCAAAACATGTCGATAATGTGCTCCTCGATGTCGTCGTTGTATATTCTCAGTCTTCCTGAATCTGCACGTTGTTGATCACGGCCATGCACACTGTCAGTATTGTACATACGAATATGAAGTCGTTGGAACGTAATCGCCGACGGCAATTATATATTTTATGGAGTAGCAAAGCGCTCCTCGTAAAGCCTTCGTGCTTCTGCATAATTGCAGTCACATTTCCCGAGATTACATATTAAAATATTCCTAGTTTGAGTAAGACATCGCACACAAGTCATTCACAGCGGATACTTAATTTCGCAATGTAATAAACAGATCCGTCCGGAAGTAATTTGCATGGTGATAACAGCTATCCATATCAGCGCTAGCGCGCTACTGGTGCTTTTGTTTATTGTCCGTGGACATGGCAAAGCGACTGTAGGTACTCTACAACATAATTTTGATATTTTCTGAATTGAGGAATTCGTTGTGATTTTTTATGTATTTTTTATTAATAGTTATTCTTTAATTTACTTGTGTTTAAGTGTTATTAACAACATAAATTATAGCTATTAGTAAAATTACATTTAAACACTCCAATAACAGGAACAATTTAAAAAACTGTGGGATAAATCCACACGACAACATATAATTAAACCATTATGCTGTTATGTTTTTCAAAATCTACTAATTAGCATTTTTATTTCTATTCTGGACTACTGAAGTGTGACAAAATTTTATGTTTATAAAACTTCTAAAAATATTACTACTAAATATTACTACAGTAAATAATAGATATAAGGTAGATCAAAATAAGTAGATCGAAATAAGTAAGTCGACATATAGTAGACGGTACCCACTCGAAAATTGAGGTATTACTTGAGTTTTTCCTATATCCAAGTCCTTCATCGCCTAACGGTTTTGAGTTTAAGGAGCGCGCGAAAGGCCGCTAATAATTTTGTTTTGTTTATTACATTCTTGTAACAAACAATAATATGAATGTATTTCAAAAACAATTCCTGTTACATATTCTTTATCGAATAAAATTTCATATGAAAAATACGTACTAAATGTCTCCTACAACTAGTCATTTTTTTTTTCAATATTTTTCATAATAAAGTGGAAAGGACATTGCTCTGCGCCCATACATTGTTCGCCCTGGTACCAAGAGCATCGGAAAATTATGCGTTTTATTGTCGATCATTAGTAAATTCCTATATGATCTTATTTTTATAGCGGACTAGCTGCATAATAGATATATTTCAAAAAAGTATCAGATTTTGAGGTTATAATCGAACCACGAATATTACGGTATTTCATAGCTCCGAGTGATTTTTAACTAACTGAAAAACGATGTCCTAAAACATTTAGCTATTTTTAGTGCCTATCTAGATAATTAGGTATGCAGTTTTTGTTCTAAAGCATAAGTGTAAGTGCAACGTATAAATGCATAGAATCTAGTTAACAAACCTGCTTTCATAGCATTGGTTTTGAAATGAGAGATAATGTTTGTGTATTAATGTAAAATTAAAAATGTATGTACATATATAATGGTTGTTAGCATTTAGAAGTTGTCATTAGCATATACGGTACAGTAAGATACCTAGTATCTAAATGTATAAGGACTTAGGCTGGTTTTATTCAGACCGCTAGACATGCCGTCGTACAGCCAGCGTATCAACCACGGTTTCAACCAAGTTTCAACAGTGCGCGCTTGAACAGCGGGAATATTATCGACTACTATTTAGTGCATTTCCAAGCGTGTGCGTCTGGATGGCGCTGTTCAAACGTGTCACTATGAAACCAGCCTTACAAACTTAGTACCTAATTGGTAGTATAAGTTGTTTTTACACCTACATTATCTTATTATGTTTGAATTAAAAATAAAACACAGATTAATGTCATGTTTATTGTTCATCTTCTAAATTGGAAATTAAAATATTGCCTAAAAATTTTGCAGGGATGTCGATATTATTTTGATGTCTCGTAAAGCTCAAGTACCAAATAATGGTCATAACATGGGCGCAGCAACAGATGGTTCTGCGTACAACGATGCAATCACAGCAATATTGCACGATTTCTTCTCCATTCATTTTTCAACAATATTGAACCACCAACAGAGTCGCAATTTACACAAAATACTTTTTCCATTGCGTATGCGTAAGTCCGTTTATGAATGCTAGGTTATCGTTTGAGCAGTACACAGTTCCGAAAATCACAACAAGGTAAGTCGTTCTTGAAAGCAATCAGAGTCCGTTAAAATAGCCAAGTCCTAATTTTCATTATATAGTTCCGAAAGTCACCAAAATCTCAAACAATTCAAGAAATACTTTTGCATAGTTGGAACATCTGTTCCTTGGGACAGACAGAAACAATGTTCTATTCTGGATTCGACCCCAGGGTAGGGCAAATTATTATTGGGTTTTTATAACTTGAAGTGCCCAGTAGTAGCACGGAGTCTGGATTTGTGCCCAGTGTTTGGCAATACGCGCACCCCTTATTACATGGGACGTATAACATAACAGTACTACACACCTCTACCTACTCCTACGAAATACAAGCGTAATGTTATGTTTATAAATTTAATAATGTTTCTATACAATTACCTATATTTACGGTAAATAATCGTCAATAATGTTCTGTGTCTATATTAGGCATGTTTGAAAATGTCGCGATTGATCGAAAATAGATCTGTTAATGCTTGATTTAATCGAGAATCGACTCTAGTATGTTCGATTTCAATCGATTTGGAGATCGTATTTTTTTCATGCGAGACTAACAAGTGGCAAGTGACCATTTAGTGACATAATATAAAAAATATAATAAAAAAAATAGGACCGCCAAATACAATACGACTTATGAATATATTCTAAGATTTATTATAGCCATACGTTACAAACAGTATTACATACATCATGACAATATCCTACATTAATTATAATAACACGTACGTCTTTACTTCTTCCATACTTGTAACAATATTAATAATAATATCTGTATCTAGTTTGCAATATTGATCTTTTTAAAGAACACATAATTAATGCAGTTACGATATGTGTTTTTTTTTTAATATTAATTGTCGTAAACTCGTAAGTTATCGTTTAGAAAGACGTAAAATGCACTCCTTTCTAAACGATCATTAGAAAATCATGAATAATCATCTTTACGAATATTTTTCTTCAGCATTATTCTAACTACTTATTCAAAATCGGGTATGACGTCATTCGTT